TTAGGGAGTAGTCTCGGTAAACTCTGGGTTGAGAGCAGTCTGGGTAAACTCTGGGTAGAGAGCAGTCTGGGAAACTCAGGGTAGAGAGCAGTCTGGGATAAACTCCAGGTGGAGAGCAGTCTGGGTCAACTCGGAGTAGAGAGATGTCTGGATAAGCTCTGGGTAGAGAGCAGTCTGGGTAAACTCGGGGAAGAGAGCAGTCTGGGTAAACTCGGGGAAGAGAGCAGTCTGGGTAAACTCTGGGTAGAGAGCAGTCTGCGTAAATTATGTGTGGAAAGCAATTTGGTGTAAATTCTGGGTAGCGAGCAGATTGGAGTAACTCTGGTAGAGGGCAGTGTGGGTAAACTCTGGGTAGAGAGTAGTCTGGGTAAACTCTGGGTGAAGAGCCGTCTGTTAACTCTGAGAAAGCAATTTGAGGTCAACTCTGGGAAGAGAGCAGTCTTTGTAAACTCGGGTAAAGAGCAATACGGGTCAACTCGGAGTAGAGAGCAGTCTGGGTAAACTCTGGGTGGAGAGCAGTCTGGGTAAACTCTGGGTGGAGAGCAGTCAGGGGTTTACTCGGCTAGAGAGTAGTCTCGGGTTAACTCGGGTAGAGAGCAGTCTGGGTAAGCTCTGAGAAAGCAATTTGAGGTAAAGTCTGGGAAGAGAGCAGTCTTTGTAAACTCAGGTAGAGAGGATTCTGGGTCAACTCGGAGTAGAGGGCAGTCTGGGTAATCTCTGGGTAGAGAGGAGTCTGTGTTAACTCTGGGTAGAGAGCAGTCTGGGTAAACTCTGGGTAGAGAGCAGTCTGGGTAAACTCTGGGTAGAGAGCAGTCTGGGTAACCTCTGGGTAGAGAGCAGTCTGGGATAAACTCAAGGTGGAGAGCAGTCTGGGTCAACTCGGAGTAGAGAGCAGTCTGGGATACACTCAAGGTGGAGAGCAGTCTGGGTCAACTCGGAGTAGAGAGCAGTCTGGGATAAACTCAAGGTGGAGAGCAGTCTGGGTCAACTCAGAGTAGTGAGCAGTCTGGGATAAACTCAAGGTGGAGAGCAGTCTGGGTCAACTCAGAGTAGTGAGCAGTCTGGGATAAACTCTAGGTGGAGAGCAGTCTGGGTCAACTCGGAGTAGAGAGCAGTCTTTGTAAACTCAGGTAGAGAGGATTCTGGGTCAACTCGGAGTAGAGAGCAGTCTGGGTCAACTCTGGGTAGAGAGCAGTCTGCGTAAATTATGTGTGGAAAGCAATTTGGTGTAAATTCTGGGTAGCGAGCAGATTGGAGTAACTCTGGTAGAGGGCAGTCTGGGTAAACTCTGGGTAGAGAGCAGTCTGTGTTAACTCTGAGAAAGCAATTTGAGGTAAACTCTGGGAAGAGAGCAGTCTTTGTAAACTCGGGTAAAGAGCAGTCCGGGTCAACTCGGAGTAGAGAGCAGTCTGGGTAAACTCTGGGTGGAGAGCAGTCTGGGTAAACTCTGGGTGGAGAGCAGTCAGGGGTTTACTCGGCTAGAGAGTAGTCTCGGGTTAACTCGGGTAGAGAGCAGTCTGGGTAAGCTCTGAGAAAGCAATTTGAGGTAAAGTCTGGGAAGAGAGCAGTCTTTGTAAACTCGGTTAGAGAGGAGTCTGGGTCAACTCGGAGTAGAGAGCATTCTGGGATAAACTCTAGGTAGAGAGCAATCTGCATAAACTCTGAGTAGAAAGCAATTTGGGGTAAACGCTGGGTAGAGAGCAGTCTGGATAAACTCTGGGTAGAGAGCAGTCTGGGTAAACTCTCGGTAGAGAGCATTCTGGGGTAACTCTGGGAAGAGAGTATTCTGGGTAAACTCTGGGTAGAGAGCACTCTGGGTAAATTGAGTGTAGAAAGCAATGAGGAGTCCTGTAGCTCAGTGGTTAGAGCACTCGCTTTGCAAGCGAGAGACCTGAGTTCAATTCCAGGCAGAGGGCGAAACCTTGGGCAAATTTCCTTACTCCACACAGTAATCCCTCCAAAACAAAAAACAATAATAAATTGGTCATTTTCAATCTACGACTGTTTGTGGGACAATGCTGTGTGCAATTGGCTGCCGCGTTCGCCCACAAATATACAGTCAATTCACTTCACAGTGTGTTCTGTGAACCAGTTTGGGACGTCCTCCCGATGTGAATAGCGCTATATCAAATGCAAGGATTATTATTATTATTAATTTGGTGTAAATTCTGGGTAGCGAGCAGATTGGAGTAAACTCTGGTAGTGGGCAGTTTGGGTAAACTCTGGGCAGAGAGCAGTCTGGGTAAACTCGGGTAGAGAGCAGTCTGGGTAAACTCGGGTAGAGAGGAGTCTGGGTAAACTCTGGGTAGAGAGGAGTCTGGGTAAACTCTGGGTGAAGAGCCGTCTGTTAACTCTGAGAAAGCAATTTGAGGTCAACTCTGGGAAGAGAGCAGTCTTTGTAAACTCGGGTAAAGAGCAATCCGGGTCAACTCGGAGTAGAGAGCAGTCTGGGTAAACTCTGGGTGGAGAGCAGTCTGGGTAAACTCTGGGTGGAGAGCAGTCAGGGGTTTACTCGGCTAGAGAGTAGTCTCGGGTTAACTCGGGTAGAGAGCAGTCTGGGTAAGCTCTGAGAAAGCAATTTGAGGTAAAGTCTGGGAAGAGAGCAGTCTTTGTAAACTCAGGTAGAGAGGATTCTGGGTCAACTCGGAGTAGAGGGCAGTCTGGGTAATCTCTGGGTAGAGAGGAGTCTGTGTTAACTCTGGGTAGAGAGCAGTCTGGGTAAACTCTGGGTAGAGAGCAGTCTGGGTAAACTCTGGGTAGAGAGCAGTCTGGGTAAACTCTGGGTAGAGAGCAGTCTGGGTAAACTCTGGGTAGAGAGCAGTCTGGGTAAACTCTGGGTAGAGAGCAGTCTGGGTAAACTCTGGGTAGTAAGCAGTCTGGGTAAACTCTGGGTAGAGAGCAGTCTGGGTAAACTCTGGGTAGAGAGCAGTCTGGGTAAACTCTGGGTAGAGAGCAGTCTGGGTAAACTCTGGGTGAAGAGCCGTCTGTTAACTCTGAGAAAGCAATTTGAGGTAAACTCTGGGAAGAGAGCAGTCTTTGTAAACTCGGGTAGAGAGGATCCTGTGTCAACTCGGAGTAGAGAGCAGTCTGGGATAAACTCTAGTTAGTGCGCAGCCGGCGTAAACTCTGAGTAGAAAGCAACTTGGGGTAAACTCTAGGTAGAGAGGAATCTGGGTAAACTCTGGGTTGAGACACTCTGGGTAAACTCAGGTAGAGTGCTGTCTGAAGTAAACTTTAGATAGGGAGCAGCCGGCGTAAACTTTGAGTAGAAAGCAATTTGGGGTAAACGCTGGGTAGAGAGCAGTCTGGGTAAACTCTGGGTAGAGAGCACTCTGGGTAAATTGAGTGTAGAAAGCAATGAGGAGTCCTGTAGCTCAGTGGTTAGAGCACTCGCTTTGCAAGCGAGAGACCTGAGTTCAATTCCAGGCAGAGGGCGAAACCTTGGGCAAGTTTCCTTACTCCACACAGAGCCTAATAATAATCCCTCCAAAAACCAAAAACAATAATAAATTGGTCATTTTCAATCTACGACTGTTTGTGGGACAATGCTGTGTGCAATTGGCTGCCGCGTTCGCCCACAAATATACAGTCAATTCACTTCACAGTGTGTTCTGTGAAGCGGTTTGGGACGTCCTCCCGATGTGAAAAGCGCTATATCAAATGCAAGGATTATTATTATTATTAATTTGGTGTAAATTCTGGGTAGCGAGCAGATTGGAGTAAACTCTGGTAGTGGGCAGTTTGGGTAAACTCTGGGTAGAGAGCAGTCTGGGTAAACTCGGGTAGAGAGCAGTCTGGGTAAACTCGGGTAGAGAGCAGTCTGGGTAAACTCTCGGTAGAGAGCAGTCTGGGTAAACTCTGGGTAGAGAGCAGTCCGGGTGAACTCAGCGTAGAGAGCAGTCCGGGTGAACTCTGGGTAGAAAGCAGTCTGTGTTAACTCTGAGAAAGCAATTTGAGGTAAACTCAGGGTAGAGAGCAGTCTATGTTAAGTCGGATAGAGAGCAGTCTGGGTAAACTTGGAGAAGAGAGCAGTCTGGGATAAACTCTGTGTAGGGAGCAGTCTGGGTAAACTCAGTGTAGGGAGCAGTCTGGGTAAACTCGGGGTAGAGGGCAGTCTGGGGTTTACTCGGGAAGAGAGCAGTCTGGGTAAACTCTGGGTAGAGAGCAATCCGGGTAAACGAGGAGTAGAAAGCAGACTGGGGTAAACTCGGGTAGAGAGCAGTTCTGAGCGGACTCTCGGTAGAGAGCAGTCTGGGTAAACTCGGGGTAGAGAGCAGTCTGGGTGAACACAAATTGAGAGCAGTCTGGGTAAATTATATGGAGAAAGCAATTTGGTGTAAATTCTGGGTAGCGAGCAGATTGGGTAAACTCTGGGTAGAGAGCAGTCTGGGTAAACTCTGGGTAGAGAGCAGTCTGGGTAAACTCTGGGTAGAGAGGAGTCTGGGTAAACTCTGGGTAGAGGGCAGACTGGGTAAACTCTGGGTAGAGGGCAGTCTGGGTAAACTCGGAGAAGAGAGCATTCTGGGATAAACTCTGGGTAGAGAGCAATCCGGGTAAACGCGGAGTAGAAAGCAGACCGGGGTAAACTCTGGGTAGAGAGCAGTCTGGGTAAACTCTGGGTAGAGAGCAGTCTGGGTAAACTCAGCGTAGAGAGCAGTCTGGGTAAACTCTGGGTAGAGAGCAGTCTGGGTAAACTCTGGGTAGAGAGCAGTCTGGGTAAACTCTGGGTAGAGAGCAGTCTGGGTAAACTCTGGGTAGAGAGCAGTCTGGGTAAACTCAGCGTAGAGAGCAGTCTGGGTAAACTCGGGTTGAGATCACTGAGATGATTCCCAGTCAGGCTCTTACGCACTCCAACATGCAGCCCTACGCGAGGCCGCTGTATAAATTCAATTTTTTTTATAAGGTCTTTCTTCCTGACCAGAGTTAAGTTGTCGGGAGCCAGGATGCTGTGCAGATTTCTAGCCTCAGTGTAACAGCAGCTGTTGTTTCTGTGACCGTAGGACGAATCGGGCTGTGGAAGGACATCTTCACTGTGGCCATGAACGAGAAATTTGATGCCATTTTTAAACAGAAGATGGGAAAATCAGACCTGACCTTTGACTTCAGTGTATAAGCCACGTGCAAGCAACACACTTCATCCACTTTGCCCTGTGTGTAATCACTGGGCCCTGACTCGTTGCTGCCTCTCTGGTGATGAGGTTCTGCCTACCTGCTTGTGTCTGTCAGCAAGTCTGTCTTTCTACCTTGCCTGTATGTTTGTCTACACACACTGCCCCCCATCACACACACACTGACCCCCCCCACCACCAGCACACACACTGCCTCCCCCAGTACTCACGCACATAAACACAAACTGCACACCCAGCATATACACACACACACACACTGTCTCCCCAGCACACATGCACACTGACCCCAGCATACACACACTGACATCCCAGCACACACACACTGCTTCCCCCGGCACACACACACTAACCTGCAGCACACACAATCTGATACTCCCATCACACACACTAACCCCCACATCACACACACTGCTTCCCCAGCACCCACTCACTGACCCCTGACACTGCCCAGCACACACTGACCTCCCAGCACACACACACTGAATCCCAAACACACTCACAAATTGCACCCCCAGCTCACACACACATACCCCCCCAGAAGACATACACTGACCACCCCCCCCAGCACACACACACACACTGACACCCCCAGCACACATACTGCTCACCCAGCACATACACTGACTGACTTCCAGCACACACACTGACCCCACCCTCCCCACACACATACACTGAGCCCCCCCAGCACAGACCCTGCCTCCCCAACACACACACACACTGACCCCCACCCCCCCATAGCACACGCACTCACACACATGAACACACAGATCCCTTCCCAGGACAAACATACTCATTGACCCCCAGCACAATCACTGACTCCATCCCAGCACACACACAGATGCCCCCCCGGCACACACACACTAACCTGCAGCACACACAATCTGATACCCCCATCACACACACACTGCTTCCCCAGCACCCACTCACTGACCTCTGACCCTGCTCAGCACACACACTGACCCCTGACCCCGCCCACCACACACACTCACCCACCATCACACACTGACGCCCCCAGCACACACTCAACTGACCCCCAGCACACACACTAAGCCCTGTAGCACACACATTGAACGCTCTCACACAAACACACCCCAGCACACACACTGACTCCCCAGTATACCCACTGAGCCCCCAGCACACACACTCACACATATAAACACATAGACCCCATCCCAGCACAAACACACTCACTGGCCCACCAGCACACATACACCGACCACCCCAGCACACAGCCTGACCCACCAGCACACACACTGACCCCACCCCCGCACTACACACACTGAACCTCCAGCACACCCACTGAGCCCCCAGGACACACACAGCACCCCCTCCCGCAGCATACACACACTGATCTGCAATCACACACTGCACCCCCCCTTTACATACATTGAACATCCAGCACACACACTGACCCCCCCCCCCCATTACACACACTGAACCTCCAGCACACACACTGAGCCTCAAGGACACACACTGACCGCCCCCAGCACACACTGCCCCCCACCACACACACACCGGACCCTCAGAACACACACAGCCACCCCAGCACACACACACATTGACCTGCCATCATGCACTGACACCCCCAGCACATACACTGACCCCCATACACACACACAAACTGAACCTCCAGCACACACACACACACTGACCCCCAGCATACACATAAACTGAACCCCAGCGCACACTGAATCCCCAACACACTCACAAGCTGACCCCCCAGCTCACACACACACACTGACCACCCCCCGCCCACCCCAGAACACACACTGAATCCCCAGCACATACACTGACCCCCCCCCCCACAGCACACACATTGACCCACCAGCTCACACACTGAACACCCCAGCACAAACACTGGACCACCCAGGACACACACTGACTCCCAGCAGACACTGACCCCGGACCCCAACGCACAAACACTGAACACACCAGCACACACACACTGACCCCCCCTCCCAGCGCACACACACACTGAATCCCCAGCACATTCACTGACCCCGCAGCACACACACACACTGATTCCCCCAGCACACACACTGACCGCCCCCCCCCCCTCCCCCCACCCGGACACACACTGAACCTTGACCCTGCCCACAGCACACACACTGAACCCGGACCTCAACACACAAACACTGACCCATCCCCTCAGTACACCCTCTGACTCCCCCCAGCACATACACACACTGACCCCTGCCGCACACACACAAACACTGACCCCACCGCAGACAGACCCACTCCCCCCCCCATCCCACCCAGCACACATACTGACCTCCCCAACACACACACACACTGACACCCCCAGCGCACACACACCCACTGACCACCCCGCACAACATCCTGAACCACCCAGCACACAAACTGACCCCCCACCGGATATACACACACTGATCTCTCCCAGCACACACACCCACTGACCCCACAGCAAACACACACCCACACATACAGAGACCACCCCCAGCACACACACACACATACTGACCCGTCAACACACACAAACATTGACCCTGCCAGCACACACACACACACACACACTGACTCCCCAGCGCACAGACTGATCCCCCCAGCACACACACTGACACCCCAGCACGCACAGAGACACACCCAGCAGACACATACACATTGAACCCTGCAGCACACACTGACCTCAGACCCCAACACATAAACACTGAACCCACCAGCACAAACACACTGACACCCCCAGCGACGCACACAGACACACTGAACCCCCAGCACAAATAATGACCCTGCAGCATACACACTAACCTCCCCAGCATTTCCCCAAAACACTGACCGCCCCAGCACACACACACACACTGACCCCTAAGCACACACACTGACCCCCCCCCCAGCACCCACATACAGACCCATCCCCCAACCAGCACATACACACACTGACCCCCATCCCGCACACACACTGAATACGGACCTCAACACACAAACACTGAACACCCCCCCCGCACCCAACACCCTCTGACCCCGCCCCCAGCACACACACACACACACACACACACACACTGACCCCCCCCCACCAAGCACACACACTGACCACCCCCGACAGACACACTGACCCCCCCTAGCACACACAATGACACCCCAGGACACACACACGCAAACATTGACCACCCCCAGGACACACACACTGACCGCCCAGCACACACATACAATGATCCCCCCCACCCCAGCACACACACACTGACCCCCCCCAGCACACACACTGACCCCCCCAGCACACACACTGACTCCCCCGGCACACAAACTGACTCCCCCAGCACACAAACTGACTCCCCCAGTACACACACTGACCCCCCCCAGCACACACACACACTGACTCCCCCACCCCCCCAGCACACACACTGACCCCCCCCAGCACACACACTGACACCCCCCTAGCTCACATACACACACTAACCCCACAAGCTCACACACAAACACACACATTGATCCCCCCCCAGCACACACACTGACATGCCCCAGCATACACCCAGCACACACTGAAACACCCCAACACACACACACAGACTCCCCACAGCACACACACTGAGCAAAAACACTTGACATCCCTCAGCACACACACTGAACCCCCCCCCAGCACATACACTGTGACCACCCCCACAGTAGACACACACACACTGACCCCCTCCCACCCAGCACACACTGATCCCGGACCCCAACACACAAACTCTGACTCCCCAGTACACACACTGACCCCACCCCCAGCACACACGCACTAACTAGCCCCCAGCATACGCACTGACCCCCTCAGTGCACACACTGAAAACTGACCCTACCCCCAGCATACGCACTGACACCGCCCCTAGCACGGATACCCTGACGCAACCCCCAGCAAACACACATTGAACCCCCCCCACCCAGCACACCCATACAGATTACCCAGCAAACACACCGAACCCAGACCCCAACATACAAACACTGAACCCACCCAACCCACCACATGACACACTGACCTCCCAGCACACAAACATTGACCACCCAGTTCACAAACTGACCCACCCAGCAAACACACACACACACTGACCTCCACCAGCACACACACCACACACACACAATAACCTGGCAGCACACACACACACTGACCCCTGAGCAAAATACTGACCCTTCCAGGACACATACACTGACAAGCCCCAGCACACACACACACTGAACCCCCCAGCACATACATACAGACCCAACCCCCCCAAAAGCACACACCCTGAACCTGCCCCTAGCACACACATACTGACCCTCCCCAGCACACACCCACCCACTGACCCCCCCATCACACACACACACACACTGACCCACCCTAGCACACACACACAAACTGAACCCCACCCAGCATACACATCACTCAGCAAACACACTGAACCCAGACTCCAACACACAAACACTGAAAATGAACCCACCCAACACACGAAAACTGAACCCCCAGCACACACACACAGAGAGTCCCCAGCAAACACTCGCACTGACCCCCCCAATGACACACTGACCTCCCAGTATACACACTGACCCACCCAGCAAACACACACACACTGACCTCCACCAGCACACACACCACATACACACACTGATCCTCCCAGCACACACACACACACTGACCCCCCAGCACATCATACAGACCCAACCTCCCCCAAAAGCACACACACTGACCCTGGACCTCAATACAGAAACACTGACCCACCCACCCCAGTACACACCTTGAACCCGCCCCTAGCACACACTGAACCCCCCCCACCCAGCATACACATACAGATCACCCAGCAAACACACTGAACCCAGACTCCAACACACAAACACTGAACCCACCCAACACCTCCATGACACACTGACCCACTCAGCACACAAAAACCGAACCCCCAGCACACACACACACACAGAGTCTCCAGCACACACTCACACTGAACCCCAATGACACGCTGACCTCCCAGCAGTGTGTGCGTGTGCTGGGGGGGGCGGGGTGGGGCCGTGTGTGAGTGTGTGTTGGGGATGCAGTGTGTACTGGGCGGGTCAGTGTGTGTGCTGGGGTGGTCAGTGGGTGTGCTGAGGGGGGGTCAGTGGGTGGGCTGTGGGGTCAGTGTGTGTGCTGAGGGTGGTCAGTGTGTGTGTATGTGCTGGGGGGAGTCAGAGGGTGTACTGAGGGGATGGGTCAGTGTTTGTGTATTAAGGTCTGGGTTCAGTGTGTGTGTTGTGGGCAGGGTCAAGGTTCAGTGTAGGTGGGGGGAGGGGGGGGCGCTCAGTGTGTGTGTGTATGCTGGGGGAATCCAGCAAACACTCACACT